AACCCAAGAGATCCTCGTTAGAGAAAAAAGGAATCGTAGGCCATGCCAGGCAGTTTTACCTGTCTTACCCATCTGTCCCTGGTTTCCATGGTTTAAGGGAAAGCAACAAGAAGAAAACAAGCAGTAGAGGTCAGAGCAGTGGCAGAAACTAAAGGCCTCATGCAGGCCAATTAACTTTTCAAAAGTAGAAGGGGATTGGTTCAAGATAGCAAGGTTAGAAGATCCCAAATTCAACTCCCCAGTGAGCACACTGACTCTACAGCTTCATATGAAACAACTTAAGAAAAACTAGGGCACCTGGATGGCTCAGTCGGTTGAGCGTCTACCTTTGATTCAGGTCATGATCCCGGGGTCCTAGGATTGAGTCCTGCATGGAGTTACCTGCTCAGTTCCCTCTGCCTGCCACTCCCCCTGCTTGTGTTCTCTCCCTCTCCCTCTCCCCCTCTCCCCCCCACCTCTCCCTCTCCCTCTCCCTTTCTCTCCCTCTCTCTCAAATAAATAAATCTTTTTTAAAAGACAAAAAACTAAAGATTGGCTGAGTATTGACTATACATCAGGCAAAAGAAAAGAATATCACACTGAAGTGTGCAGGAGAGGCTAGGACACAATCTCACCATAAACCCTGCCCATGATTTGGTGACCAAATGAGGAAAAAATTTAAAACCTGAGCCTTTTTGTGGAGTAAAGTGTTCAAGCCCCCATCTAGTCCCTCAGCTTTTAGGAGTGGCACCTGAGAGTTAAACACTCAAAATATCTAATTGTAAAACCAATAGCACTTATGTCCCAGGTGCACAAGGCTATCATGATCTGAAAGACAGCTCTTAATGGGCCTGGATGTTTGGACATACCTGCCTCAGGGCCCAGCTCAGTGGCTGCCTGATTGCATCCAGACATAAATTGAAAGAGGTTGGCCTGCTGATATTTAAGTGTCAGCCTGTGGGGCAAGCATCTAATGTAACACACATATCTGGGAGCCTACTGGAGTATTCTCTGGGATAGAGACTGGTTAGTACTGTGTCCATGCTCTCCTCTGCTGTGCTCCAGAGCACTAGAAAGGAAATTTTTACATGTATCTGGTGCCCTGATTTTTGTGGCTGCTGCCCAGGGGATGCCTCCTGACTGGCTGGCTCTGGATGCCAGGGGGACTTATGTTCCTCATCTCATGAGACTATAATAATCAGGATAACCCAGAGAGGAGCTCATACTCGTCTCTGGCACCTTAATTTTTGTACCTGCTGCCAGGAGACACCTCCACATTGCCAGCTCTGTTAGTCAGTGGGGTTTATGCTTGTGAGTTCCTTAGGACAGTAACTCGTGGAGAGAGGGTTCCTAAATACCCACCACCCCCACTGCACAGCAAAAGGCAACAGACCTAGGAGCTTGGTCTTTCTGGGAAGGGAGCCTACTAACTAAAAGTCATGGCTGGCAGCCTGAGGGGCAGGTTTCTAATTAAACACACATCTAAGGAATGACTATAATCTTCCAGAGACCTCAGAAAGTACCACTATCTTCATGTTCTCCCTCTGTCACACTCCAGAGCACCAATGTCTCCTGGAGGGAAGCTTCACATGAAGCTGGTGTCCTGGTTTTTGCATCTGCTGCCATGTATTTTTATCTGCCCCCCAGGGTATGTCCCTAGATTGCCTGACTGGCTAGGGGAACGTGCATCTGAAGTTCCACCAGACTGGCAATTGGAGACAAAGTTCTTGGCAGGCTGCCATCCCAGGACACTGCACAGACAGAAGATCGAGGCATACCTCTTTCCAGTCATTCTGTGAAGGGGGCCTCTTGGCTTGTCCTAGAGCTTTGGCCTGAGAAGCACACTAAGAGCTGCTCTCAAAGAATGTAGGTTGTAGGCACCATCATGGTGCTCTCATTCTGCCTTGTTCCATCTGGCCAGTATCTCCCAGAAAAGAGATTTTACATTCAACTGGAGCCCCAGTTTTTGTAACTGTCACCCAAATTGCTTGTTCAGTGGGGTTTATGCTTGTGGTCCCACAGGACTGTACATATTTGCATAATTTTATTTTTAATTTTTTTATTTGCATAATTTTAAAAGCTGCTACCTGAAGATTTGGCTTCCAAACAGCCTGAATCTAGGTACTGAGCTCTTCCCCTTTCATTCACTGACAGGTCTTGGCACATCCTCACCTACTGAGCCCTAATAAAGATATAGCTGGCTTTTTGGAAGAGAACAAAGGTTTGAGAATGACAGAGTTGGAGCAGAGTTGAAAGATGCCCATAAGGCTCATCTACACAAGGAGAGGTGGTGGTTTTGTATATTCTATAAATCAACACAGAGTCAAGTAAAATGAAAAAAAAAAAAAACAGGAAAATGTTCAGAATGGAAGAAAAAGATAAAACCTTAGGGGGAAAAAACTGTAATAAAATGCAGATAAGTAATTCACCTAATAAAGCACTCAAAATTATGTTCTTAAATATGTTCATCAAACATGGGAAAAGAATGGATGGACACAGAACTGCAACATAGAAATGGAAAATAAAAGAAGTACCAAATAGAAGTCATAGAGCTAAAGAAAACAGTAACTGAACTGAGAAACATATTAGAAGGGTTCAACAACAGATTACATGAAATACAAGGAAGGATAATTTAACATGAATCCAAGCTGCTGGTGGAACTCACCCACTCACAGCAGAAAAAAAAAATGAAGATAACTTAAGGGACTTATGAGGCAACATCAAACAGACTAACATTCACATTATGGAGTCCCACAAGGAGGAGAGAAAGAGGCAAACTTGTTTGAAGAAATAATGTCTAAAAACTTTCTAGAGGAAGTCAAGGAAGGAAGTGGGGAAGGAAACAGACATCCAGATCCTGAAAGCCCAGAGATTTCCAAATAAGATGAAATAAAAAACCCACATCAATACACATTATAATTAAACTGTCAAAAATTAAAGATGATAAAATATTAAAAGCAATAAGAGAAAAATAATTAGTTGTGTACCAGGGAGCCCCCATAAGCCTATCAGTAAGTTTTTCACAGAAACTTTGCAGGCCAGAGGGAGTGGCATGATATATTTAAGGTGCTGAAAGAAAAAAAAAACTTCCAACTAAGAATATCCTACCCATAAAGTCATTCAAAATTGAAGGAGAGATCATGAGTTTTCCATATAACAAAAACAAAAGGAGTTCATCCAACTAAGCCAGCCTTACAAGAAGTGTTAAAGGGATTCCTTTAAGCTGAAAAGAAAGGTTGCCAGTTGGTAACAAGAAAACCTATGAAAGAATGCATATCACTGGAAAGGTAAATACATAGTAGAAGTAGTAGATTAGTCGATTATAAAGCTGATATACAGGTTAAAAGACAAAGGAGGTAAAAATACTATGGTTGTGATAATTATCTAAAGGATACAGAAGTAAAATGTGACATCAAAAACAAAGCGTGGCTGAGTAAAAATATAAGCTTTAGGATAGAATCAAACTTCAAGTAGACTATTAGAATTTGTTTGAAGGAAGGCACTTGATGAGATGAGCACTGGGTGTTAAACTATATGTTGGCAAACTGAATTTAAATATATTGTTTAAAAACTTGTTATATATAAGACTCATGGTAACCATAAAGTGAAAACCTATAGTAAATGCAGAAGAGAGAAAGAGAAAGAAATATAAGTATACCACTAAAGAAAGTCATCAAACCACAAAAGAGAGCAAAAGAAGAAAGGAGCAGAGAGGAAGTACAAAAACAGTCAGAAAACAACAGAATGACAAAAGTACATACCTATCAATAATTGCTTGAAATGTAAATGGACTAAATTATCCAATCAAAAGGCATAGAGTGGCTGGATGGATTTTAAAAACAAAAATAAATGTACACTGCCTATAAGAGACTCACTTCAGATGTAAGGACACATAGACTGAAAGTGAAGGGATGGAAAAAGATTTTTTGGGCAGCCTGGGTGGCTCAGCGGTTTAGCATTGCCTTTATCCCAGGGCGTGATCCTGGAGACTCGGGATTGAGTCCCACGTCACGCTACATGCATGGAGCCTGCTTCCCCCTCTGCCTGTGTCTCTGCCTCTGTGTGTCTCTTATGAATAAATAAATAAAATCTAAAAAAAAAAAAAAGCTCCTCTCACTTAAAAAAAAATCTTTCATGCAAATGAAAACCTAAAGACAGTATACTTTGACAAAACAGGCTTTAAAACAGAGGCTGTAGTAAGAGACAAAGATGAACATTATGTAATGATAAATGGGTCAATCCAACAAGAGAAAATAACATTTATAAATATTCACCCAACATGGGAGCATCTAAATATATAAAACAAATATTAACAGACCTAAAGGGGGAAATAGATGGCAATACAATAATACTAAGGGATTTCAATACCCTCATTTACATCAATTGATAGATCATCCAGACAGAAAATCAGTAAGAAAGTATTGGCCTTAAACATGTTGGACCACATGAACTTAACAGATGTATACAGAATATTCCATCCGAGGACAGCAGAACACACATTCTTCTTGAGTGTACATGTATCCTCTTCCAGGAAAGATCCTATGTTAGGCCACAGAACAAGTCTTAATCAGGGACACCAAAGAATATGTCACCCAATAACATGTGAGTTTCATCTTTAGGTATTAACCTGCTATGCCTCTTCAGAATTCTTTGGTCCTAAGGTTAACAAGGGAACAGTGTCTTCGAATGATTCATTATACCAGATGGACATAACAGATGTATATGTAACATCCCATCCAAAAACAACTGAGTACACATCCTTTTCAAGTGCACATAGAATTCTTTATGTTTCAAACTGCCACACATTATCAGAGTTCTTGAGCATAACAACAGGCACTTTGACCCTCCACTGAATGCTTCAGAGGAGATCAGAGAATGTCTTTCTGAAGTTTTCCAAATATTTGGTTTCCTCTCTTGGAATGGATGTGGCTTAGTTAGCATCATTGTGGATCTGCCATATTTAACTTATTGTTACCTGAATGATTAAACATTATGCTAATATGCTTGCTTATTCTGTCCAGGTGTTATTCTCTATATCCTCCTGGTGGGATATCCACCCTTCTGGGATGAAGATCAACACAGACTTTATCAGCAGATCAAGGCTGGAGCTTATGATGTATGTAATAAAAGTTCATATAGCTGTAGATGCGTGTTTTTTGTTTTTGACCAAGAACCAAATTTTTTATTACAATTTTAACCATAATTTTCAACAATTTCTCTATTTTTCTCTCTCCTAGGGAAAGGGAGATAAAGAGTAAGGAATGCAGCATATGTATTCAGTTTATATTTCCTCTTAGTTCACTATCTCCTAGGATTGAAATAAATACAATTGGAAGTCTCTAAGGAAGGACTTTCCTTGTCAAATTTTGAGATCTTAGCACATTTTAAGACATAGAAAAACTAAAAGATTTTTGTTTTGGAAATTATTACTACTTGCTTAGTTGAATTATATTCCCAAATGTTTATCACATAATTTTAAATAATATATCAACAATACTTTGCAGTGATCCATGTATCAAATAGAACATTGTTCCATTATGTCAGCTTGACTTTTTTTGTCTTGTTAACCTAATGGGCTTCTTTGCAGACTTTCATTTGAAGAATGGGTTTCACAATTTTAAAATGTTTGAAAATCACAATTCCAATACATTTCATTTACAATCGAAATGCTTGAAAGTATGAGAATGAATTAAGTCCTAAATCTAAAAAGTGAGGCCTTATATATTTTCTCTTCATGTCTTAACTTTGTGTTCATTGATATAATTTTCTCTCCTTTGACAAATATGTCTGTAAATATGATTTACCACCACCTCTGGGTGCATCTCACACAGCCAGCCCTCTGGAAATTAGAGATCAAGGTCTGGAGATGCTTTTCATATATTAGTAAGTGGGGTAACTAAGTAGTAGGCAATATTGGGTAAGCCTGTGCACAAGTTAAAAGCTCAATATAGCAGTAAGGAGTTAAAATCTGTATTATATTGTATCAGGTCATATGAACTCAGCATGGGCATTTCTGTAAAAATGTTCTATATATGGAAGTGTGTATCACAAGAATTTAAAATGTATATTCTTTTAGTTTTGAAGCATTCCATTGTAGTCAGGCTAATAATTGGACCAAGTTATATTTACATGGCTACAGCTAGCATATTCGTCATCTTTATAGACTACAACTAGGTACCCTCCTAGAAAGATATAGCTCTCCAGATGTACTGTTTGATGAATGTGAAGGAGTGACATTGTTAAAATTTAAAAAATGAGAAAAAAATCCACCTTTATTCAGGCTGAACCAGCTCCTAATTTGCTATCGGAAGATCTGTACATCATGAAGGAGCAGCCTTGAATCTTTCTTCAGTAGCTCCTAATCATTAGTGAGTTTTTGCAGCTGCCTAAAATAATTTTTGGAAATAAAATGACAGTTGTTAAACTAGTAAAATTTGAATATTAAATAATGAGTCACTATCATTTTTCTCATATTTCTTTTTACCAATGGGTCACAAAGAAACCATTTTATAAATACTAAAAGTGAACTTAAAGTCCATGACACAGTGACATGGCATTTTATTCTAAGATTTTCTATTCTTGAGTGTACATGTAACCTCATAAAAATTCATGAATAAGAAAAGGACCTGATATTCTGTTTAGAAACTAATGTAATGTAAATTTTTCTTAACCTATCGAGAATAGTATTTCTACTAATAAATTATGTGAAAATGAAGTTACATTATTATCAACAAAAATTTTAAATAAACAGGATAAATAGCTTTATTATATAGTTATTAATGCACAAATAGATTACTAATAGAAGTTATGAATATTAGTTCCTTTTACAAACTTTGATGAAATTCATAATTAAGTAGGTAAACCTTTCTGAAGTGTTAAAATGAGATCCTGTAGTCTGAGATTTCTTCTCAGTACTATATTACAAATAGCCACAAGTAGTAGGTCAGTTTTGTAATGGGTAATGGAGGCTATTTTATTATATCCACTATTAACTGCTCATGAGTTGTGAAAGTATGTAATACTTCATTGTTTTTTTTGTAACATCTCCTTTTGAATCTTGGTGTAATAGCATGATGACATCAATACGTGTGACAACCTGTCAGCTTTATTGATGTTTGCAAATAATTATGAGAAAGATGGCATAAAATTTTATTTTCAAACCAAAATAAATAAGCTTTGAGAGGACCAGAAGATTCTTAAGTTTATTTTTCTAAATTACAAAATATAACTACTAGTTCTAATATGCAATTTATAATATGTTTATCCTTTATTGATTACTTTTATTTAATATATATAAATATATATAGGGAGAGGGGGATATATACATGTATGATTTATCTACCTGTAGATACAATTTAACTTCTACAAAAAGTAAATTTATAAAGAAATTCACTACTTAAGGAAATGATTAGTTTACTTAGCTCTTCCCTATTCTACTGAGTGTATCTATTTTTTAAACTCCTTATTAATTTGTATTTTTGAAGTTTCCATCACCAGAGTGGGACACAGTGACTCCGGAAGCCAAAGACTTAATCAATAAAATGCTCACTATCAACCCTGCCAAGCGCATCACAGCCTCAGAGGCACTGAAACACCCATGGATCTGTGTAAGTGACAGTTCTCGAAAGACCTTAGGAAAAAATTAAAAATAAGTCCTTTAATTTTTTTTCATAGATTTAAATTTTTTCAGAAAAAGATAAAACTAAAAATGAATGAATTTTTGACTCAAGGTATTTAACAAAATAAATTTGTACTGCTGATAATTGCCATTTGGTGTAACAAAATCTGATTTACATAGATTGATAAATGTTACCTACAATAACACAAGGAATGAGTATTTCCCCCTATCAATTATTGATAATACTTATGAACAGAGGTCAAGAAAATGCTACTAAGATTATATCCCAGTAGAGAATATTAGACAAAGTTCAATTATTTATCATTAGGCAGCTTTAGGGCAAAAAGTTTTAGAAGCTTATAGTAAGTTTTACTAGCAAGAAAGAACAGCAATGGTAGACTAAATATACTTTAGATGTGCTAAGAAAAACTGAAATTCAGGGGAATGTAGAGTTTTCAGTACATTTCTAGGCTTAAGTGTCAAATGATAGGGCAGTAAATATGGTACTAAGTAAATGAAAAGCAGTCCAATAGAAATATTAGTAAAGACATTGAAATAAAGTTAATTTGGAGAATTACTGTTATTCATTTCTATATTTTCTATAGATAAATGTTGCACCTTTGTTACAAATAGTCTTGGCAAAACTACTCATCCATTATTAGCGAACTTTTGCAAGTGAATACTCACAAGTTCATCAAATGGGTTCAGGCACCATTAATGCAGATTTGATGAAATTGAGATACTATAATGCTTAGTATGTTTTGAATATCCTAAGTTTCTTTTCCTCCTCTTTCAGCAACGTTCTACTGTTGCTTCCATGATGCACAGACAGGAGACTGTAGACTGCTTGAAGAAATTTAATGCTAGAAGAAAACTAAAGGTAAGAAATTTTACATTTTTGTGAGGAGGTAGACTTGGCAGAGTGAGAAATGAGATTCTTTATGAGGAAAATAACTTTTTCAGCAAAGGCTTTTAAATGTGTAGACCTCAGTACTTATATTACTCTTCTTCTGGGTCTTCAGAAAATTGAATATCACACTGGACTTAAGTCTACAATGAGGAGGTAGGATCTGTGTGGCAGTGTGTCCTGTACTTCCTCCCTTCAGAAGAAAACAACTGCAATTTGATAATTAGAATCCAACCATACACATGAGGGCAACCCCAGCGTTATGTGAGGACATAGTCCTGCTAGTCTCAGGAAACAAAACATCAAAAACAGACAAATAAAAATCCCCTGAGTTAATAAAGAGGAAAGGAGAAAAAATGAGTGGGAAATATCAGAAAGGGAGACAGAACATGAGAGACTCCTAACTCTGGAAAACGAACTAGGGGTGGGGAAAGGGGAGGTGGGCGGGGGGTGGGGGTGACTGGGTGACGGGCACTGAGGGGGGCACTTAACGGGATGAGCACTGGGTGTTATTCTATATGTTGGCAAATTGAACACCAAAAAAAATAAATTTACAAAAAAAAAAAAATCCCCTGACTTGAAAGTAAGGCTAGGAGAAGATTTGTTATCAAAGACTGTTTATTTGTTCGGTCAAAGATTTGTACAAGCAACATTAATTTCATATTCTTGTTTTTCTGACAGGGTGCCATCTTAACAACTATGCTGGCTACAAGAAATTTTTCAGGTACATGTGTTAAGAATTCTGCTCCTTATCCACTGCTCTCCTTTTTAGTAGTCATCTTGAAATTAAAGAAAAACCTAACAATTAGAAAAAGACTGTTGTTAGGGATCACAAATATGCGGCATGGATTCCTTCTGTGCAGTGTCTCATTAGGAATCCTAAGGGTACTGTCTCATGGAGATGTTAGGCATGTAACTGCACTTTTCTAAAGAGTACACAAGCAGCCCCTCCACTGGTCAGTGTTGTGCAGCATTTGAAACCCATCTGCCATCCTTGCTGGGGTACACACAAGTTGAGGAAATATGTACTCTGTCTTCCTGAAGCTCAGCATTTCAAACCTAGAATTAGTTAATTGATGTTTCATCAACTAATAGCTATAAATAAGATATTTTGTTTGTCTTATTCTCATAGGGAATCCCAATAAGCAAGATTTTTAAAAGAAGACCATTATTGTGGAACCCAGTTCTCATAGGCCCAAGTTCTTTCAAAAGTACAGATGTATCTTGACACACTAAAAGAATGGTTGCATATTTCAAAGGTATCCAAATTCAAGAATGTACAGAGAACCCTACCTCACAGTAATATCACAAGATAATAAATGTTCCTCAAAATTATTCCATGATAAAAATAATTTTTAAATAAAAGAAGTAAAGCCATTTCTTTAGGTGTGGCTCTTCAAAATGGACATAAATATGTATTATGTCCAGAAATTACTTGAATTTTGGACCCCCCCCTCTAATAGATTATCACTAAGAACCAGTTTCCAAAAATGAAATTTTGGTAAATACTAATTAGTCTTATATCTGGGGAGGAACTGAAGCAGCTAGAAAGCTGCATTTGGTAAAGTGGCTTTTAAGACTTGGAAGGATTATCAAACAATTTGCCAAAAACACTACCACTTTACTTTGCTTGCTGTTCACATAAGAGTGACATCAAATTATCTAGATATCCTTAAGATATTTATCACTGTACATACTTAACTTCTGGGTATTATAGTACTATCAGGTGATGATCCATAACCTTATCAAATGTTCTTCAGCCTTCTCAACCAACTTTGAGTTATTGTTTATGACTAGATGAAATAATCAGCTTTTGTCCCCCACTATTTTTAGTTAATACATAATGTGAAACCATAGGATGCTTTCCAAAGGCTTCCATCGAGCTGTTAGTGAAATATATGTATTTTGTCCAATTTGTTTGATGTAATAAAACGTTGTTACTGCCTTTGTCAAGTTACCTGTTTTATGAACAGTTGATTAATATAGTTGACATTTACAAGGGTGAGTTCAATATCATCTCATTAAATATTAACTAATACATACTATATTCAAATAGTTATTTCACTGTGGCCCAAAAATTAGTGAATCACTAAAAGATAGGATGATTAATATATATATTATTAAAGATAAACTAACTTGAAAAAATCTCCAATATTAAGATTATGTATTTTGTTAGTCTTAAATACACTCAGGCATAAATTGGGCCTTTTTAAATATACACTCATGTATAGAAGCTTTTTGTGTACATCACATTTTCCTTTTCATCATCGTGTAAACTAAAACTCATGACTAATGTGTGAATTTTATATTGTTTCTGATGTCTTAGCATGAAAGGCAAACTTTTTTTTAATCCATCACATCAAGGCAACTGAATAACCTTGAACCCAGTTACAAACATCTTGTACTTGATATTGCATTTTAGTTTTGAGTATTTTATTCATTCTGTTTCATTAGCAAACATGCTTTTAAAGTAATTTGTCCATAAGTATATGGTTATAAAGTTGTTTTTATTTTTTTTTCTTTTCTCCCTTTATGTGGAATGTATTTCTTGTGAGGTAAGGTGAATAGTAACCAAAAGGGACATTTCTGCATCTCCCAGGCCAAATCCCTGCTTACCCTGAATCATTGTCTTCTCTTTGCTTGCTATTGCAATTTCAACTATTCTGAGTTTGCTTTCTAACCTATTAACTGCCACAGGATTTACTTAATATTGCTTTTTAACTCTAGGCAAATAGTATTATAGCTAAGGCACCAATGCTTACAATAGCAATTAATAATAAATTAATAGCTTTTGTTGCTAAAAACTAAATAAAATTAACATTTTTGTATCTTAAATAAATTTAAAATTATACCAAAGTAATATCAAAATAATAGCTCAAATCAAATGGATATCAGGAAATTACATGTTCATACAGTTCTATTATAGTTAGGTATTCTATTTCAGATGCCAAAGTCTATTCTGATATACTTAAATAATTATACATACATATATATACATATATATGTGTGTGTGTATATATATATATATACATATAAAAAACATTGAATGGAAACATAAGTGTATACTTTGTCCTGCATATTCATAAATGTTCTACCCTTGGTGTACTAATTGTCATTAGCAGTTATATAATCTTTTCACTGTGTATGAATGTACCCATTCATAAGTCTGTTTTTTGAAACGATGACTTCACCTTCTAATATACTCAAGAAGTTCAGTAACAGAAGGAATGCTAAAAGCTATCCTCTGAGAAAATGAAATTTCATATTGAGACCACATACTTCAAGGGTTCTTTGATTTAGTTGAAGATGTTGTTTTGTTTTATAACTCACCTCAAATTTTATAATTTTAAATTTTTTGATGTAAATGGCTTTTGTTTATGAAAGCTTTGTATTCTGATTTTGAAGTATAAAAGAATACATAATACCTTTTTTCAAAGGTCCTATGCTAAGTGTTTAAAAAATTTGCTGTAGGCCAATAATGTACCATTTCATTTTAAATACATTTATTACTGTTTTTTGTAAAAAATGAAAGCTCTGATTTCATATATATATGAAATATATATATATATATATATATATATATATTTAAGAGATGTTATTTACCCGGAGCAAGTTTTCACAAATAAATTTCAAATCTTTAGAAAGAGGGGCTTAAGTGGCAGAACTGACCTGGTCACCATACTTGTAGTGTGAATGAACATGTAATATAGTCTGTAAGCTGATGTTTGAAGACTGAAATCAACTTTCTGGATTACAAAAGTATAGTCCAGTTAAAGTTCCAGTATCCTTTTCGCAACCAACAGTGAAACCAAGTCCAGTAACATAACTGGCAAAGTGTCCAATTACATGCAATGCACTAAATAAGAATTTAGTTCTAAATTTGATGTGGCAAAACCAAGAAAAGCGATACTGTGTTTCAGTGTCCTGTAAGCTCACGCTCATCAGTGTAACCTTGATAATTTGGCATATGTTGGCCATAACTCAGTAAAGGTAATAGAAGGAAACAATAACCTAATTTGTTGCTGGCATGAGTTTCTGTGAATAACTCACTGAAATGGTTTTACTCTCATTTTGCAGCAGCCAAGAGTTTGTTAAAGAAACCAGATGGAGTAAAGGTAAGTTAAACAGGTGCTCCTAAAATCATTTCTGACTTTCAGATGCTGGATAATTTTTAAATGTGAAATCTAAATTGTAAGTTTTCATAGTAATTGTAATTTTTTTTATAGTTCCTGTAAAGGATGCAGTTTGAGGTATAAAATAATTTAATATGTAAATATGACTATCATTTATGACAAGAAACTGTGTATATTTTGATTCAATTATATTTTAAATAATCTGACAAAATAATACTTTTATATGCAGTTGTAGAAACAATGTCTAAATCCTCTGTGCTTTACTACAATCCTATCATAAAGACCTGAAAATCAATGAAAACCAAATGTTTTTCTAATTAATTATGCTATGTTCTTGAAGTCTGCTGAATTATATAACCAGAAAAAAATCAAGTCATAGGGTATGGGAAATTAAACGTCAAATGATTAAATTTATCTGCATAGGCAGTTTTTATAAAGGTCTTAATTGTTCCTGTGTTTCTGTCATAAGGTATTGACACATACTCAAGGTGAATATTCTTATAAATTATAGAAAATTTTCCAAGAAAGATAACAACAGGATATTTTGACTTTCTTGGATTTCTAAACCAAGTAATACAACTTATTTTCTATTGATTCTATTTTGTTTTGTGGGAATTTACCTTTAATTGAATGTATTTGTATTATGTTTGTTATCTTTCTGGAGTATCACCTAAGTATTTTGTTTCTTTAATCCTTTTCTTTCTCTTCCAATGGCAGATGCATACATTCTTCATGAACACTTCAACATTCTTGGGAATTAGTTAATATTCTAACATTGAACTTGACCAAAAGTCAGGTGGTCAGTTCATTTTGAAAATGTAGCATAGAAAATCATTCTTAGTCACTTCTTAGGTTCATGCCCAATCATTTCTTCACCTCCTGTCTATGTGTGATTTGGGAATTTCCAGAGCTATGGTTACCATGTAATTGTGATTCCCATTAAGACGGCATTTGCCTTTTGCCAATTGCTATCCTCAACCTGTAATGTTCTCTTCCTTCTGCTTAGTTTGTTTCATTTCAGTTTCACTAATGACAGTTGATGTTGCCTTTTTCTCAGTGTTACATTGGTAGAAATGTGGTATTTTAAATTTTCCAAATGTTTTATTCTGTTTTTCTATACCTTTCAGTGATGCAGAGGTCATAGTTCCCATTGAGATATTTATTTTTATTCCCCTTATATAGAAAGAAAAACTTCCAGAACTTTTTTCTTCTAGACAACTTACAGTTCCTCTTTAAAGAGAAATTTATTCTGTCCTCCATGCTTTGATACTTTAAAAATTCAACCGGTCATATTTTTTTCTTTTCCTTTCTCTTTGACTGGTCAATTCAGAAAAGGAAGTCCAGTTCGAGTGTTCAGATGATGGTGAGGATCTCTATCTGCCAGATTTCTCCTCCTGTGAAAAGTCATACTTAGGAATAAAAACAGTCTTATTTACCTAAGTTAGTGTAAGTAGAGTGTAGGACCATTACAGGCCAATGTCAATTAACTGTCAAAACACAGTATCCACATTCACATAATACTATTTATCTTTGACTTTGAATTTTTAAAATATGTAAAAAGTTCATACCTTTATCTATATGCTATTAAAGGATCATTTATAAGACCATTTATAAGACCTTAAAACTGAAGAGACCATGACATAATTAATGTCTGTTTAATGATAAGTGAAAGAATATTGTAGGATTATTTTTAAATGATGATCATGATTACTAAAAATAGGAGTCATTTTCAGTTCCAGATGCACCATAATACATCTACCATGAAGTTTATAAACAGTGTAATAGTTACCTGACAATGGACCCATCCTAGTTAAGCACCTACAGAGGAAACATTTATTAATCTCAAAACTGAATAAACTTAACACCTGAGAAATAAGAATATCTTGCCCATACCCCATAACAGTAATTCAGTGGATCACTTAAGTACCTGGTTTGATTTAGTTTTGTTAAAGAAAAATTGCTTCATAACATAAAATAACTACATTTCATAACAAAAGTGCCTGAGTCTGTTTTAAAGACTGCTTATAGTTTACCTCATACTTAATATTTGATTCTTTAATAAAAAAGAAGTCCTCCTAGCCTTTTACTTGGAAACTCTCCTATTATTTTTCAACTAATTAATATTACAAGTACCTTTAAAAGACTTCCCATAGTAATAAAAGATCATTAAGCTTATTTTTACATTAACTTAAAAAGTTTGTAACTGCATATTTAAACACAACTAAAAGTGGTGGTTGAGGCTCATATTCATTTAACTCATATTTGTCATACCTGACAATAAAGAATGGCTTATCCAGGCAGAGTGGCCTTCAATTAGAAGACCAGATGATGTGTGTACGCTGCGTACCTATGTGTGAACGTGTGTAGGAGTGTGTGTTGTATGTGTGTGCACACATTTGTGCAGAGAAGTGCGTGTGCATAGGTGTGCATGTGTGACATTTTCACTGAAAGAAATCAGTTCTTTGCAACCATTCTAGAAAACAGTCGTCTCTTATCTCAATACAGAAATGAAAAGATCTCAAAAAAAAGAAGTATCTCAGTATATTCCTCTTTTATTTTTGTATCTGCTGATATAAACTAAATATAACAAATATATGTGGTGCTTCAATTATAAGTACCTCTGATCATTTGATAAGAAGTCAACTGTGTTTTGCCATGTACTCTTCCTCATTGGAAATTATTTGCATGTGCATCCCTCCTCTTTTATCATGTATTTCATACTAACATAAATACTAATTTTGATCCCTCTCTAATAGATTCCATCTCTTACCTCTTTCTGGCTGTTGCACAAATTCGATGTTAAATTCCATGCACTTTGATTTAAAGAAAAATTTTAGACTATGTAAAATAGAGATTGATGGTTTAATATTTAAAGAGTTTTTCCATAAAGGGCACCAGAAGTTTTCTCTTTTCCTGCATGTCATAGAGCATAGTGTTATAGCTTATTTAAATAATACCAATACAAAAAAATCACACAAATACGAATGATTAAAAAAGCAAAATATTATGTACTGAAATTAATTTCTTTAACCTTCTATGTTCTTCTCAGTGCTGGTTTCACTATGATCTACAGGTATAAAATACAAAAGAAAAAAAAAACCAGGAAGTCCAATTAAATTGGCGTAATTGCTTATAAACTTGTTTGGTATTATCTATTTTATGCAGTATGTTTTTCCCTTTGAGGCCTTTAAGAACATTATACTAAAATTATGTGATGTGTTCCTTTAAATAATAATATGTAAAGAAAATACCTAGATAATGTTGTACAGGAGAATTAATGTAAATAAATAGTTCTGTTTGATAACTGTAATATAAGTTATCATACATGAACTTAAATGAATGTTGGCTACTACTGCTTAGTTTTTTATTATTTAATGCCCAAATTCAACTGTAATTTCAACTTGCCACTTGTCTACAAAGAGTTTTCTCTGTGGACCCATTATAATACTTATTGACCCAACTGAGTTGCCAGTGTGGCTTCCATTGTGATATGATCTCCTTAATATCAACCCCAATATGAGACAGAACATGAGAGACTCCTAACTCTGGGAAAGAACTAGGGGTGGTGGAAGGGGAGGAGTGCAGGGGGTGGGGGTGACTGGATGGCGGGCACTGAGGGGGAGCACTTGACAGGATGAGCACTGGGTGTTATTCTGTATGTTGGCAAATTGAACACCAATAAAAATAAATTTATTATTAAAAATAAAATAAAGATCAACCCCAATATGTTAAAGCAAGAGAATAATATTACCAAATACAATCTTCAACAGTAGCACTTTGAAAGAAAAACAAAGTAGTAACACTTTGACAGAAAACACAAACATTTCCTCTCAAACAATTGTGAAAAATAATCTTTTTACATTCAGAAGATAGCAAAGAATTCAATTTGCCCATTTATAATTGAAGGTGTATTTTTTAAAGGAGGCCCAAACTTATCATTTTAAAAAGTATGTTATAAAGCCTGCATTTCATCAGAAGATCTAAGTTTGGAATTGGTTACCTACTAAGCAAAGTGATGATGGCTTCGCAGAGAAAAATGGTCTATGTGTGACTTCAGGATCGAGAATAAAATGAAAAAAAAAAGGAATGTATTCATAACAGAGAATAATTGGAAGCTGGGAACAGACTCCAACTTGAAGAGTATGAAAATATTTATGTTAATTTCATACTCTGAAACTTGACTTGAGCTCTACTGAAGCAGTTCTTTGTTGGCTAACATGGCACAGCCAAAGCAGCCAAGTCTGTTTGATCATCCCACCATCACAGACGTGGTCCTAGCCTGTATGTGACCATCGGAGACTAGAATTGATTATCATTTCTGTCACACATCATGGTGTCTTTCACGTTCATCTTCAGTGGCTCTTTATTTTCATGTCTATATCTCCACATAGACATGCTGAAGTATAGAGACATTGGCTACCAAGGGATTTAAGGCATCTCTGTTTCTATTTTCTGCATACCTACAGATAAACAACAAAGCCAACGTGGTAACCAGCCCCAAAGAAAATATTCCTACCCCAGCGCTGGTATACCTGGACTCTTTGTAACCCTTCTTAAGTTCTTTACTGTTTTTTGTTGTTTCTCTCATTTGCTTTCACTATATAGATACATATGTTATATAAGTATTTTATTTTGTTGGGTTTTGTTTTGCTTTTGAAGATATGAGAAAAGTTCTTTTTTTTTTCTTTTGGTTAAGGTAGTTGCCAAGCAGTGTGTTTCTAACATAATGATCTCATTTCATTGTTGAACATTATTCTGATAGCTGTGGTCCCTGTAGTTGAAATTGTTGCATGCTGCTTTAGAAATACAGTAGAATGCGCTTTGGTCGCTCTTAGCTCTTCTTCTGATGGTAGCTCTAGATTATGATTTCCTCCTTCTGTGATGCAAATTACTGACATCGAGGAGAGCTAAGGGGGTTATTGCCAGACACCAGTAAATGTAGACCTTATTCAGAGTTCATTTCCCTCTTCTTGAAAGACAGCAGGGCTTTATAAGACCTTTTTGAGATAAAGAGGCATTTGGTATTTTTGAGCTTTTAAAGAGCTCTTTGAGTTTTAAACGATCACTGTTTCACAGTAATCCAAAGAATGAAATGTATACCATAGAACTTTGAATTATCAGTGGAAATCAGTTTTGCTCATTTTAATCCAATCACACCATTTACAACTAAATCATTTTGATACTTTGAGATAGTGTTATATTAAAAATCAAGATTTGAATACTGGCATTCAGTACTCTGAGTTTCATAATATTTTGCTCAAATAATTCCATATCTTGATATAGGTTTTCTGAACTATTTCTGATTTTTAACTGTCCTTTATACTATTATTTTAAATGAAAGAAAATACTAAGGGATTATTTTCACTTGGGTTAACTAGAAGGTTCTGTTTAAAAACATTTAAAGGAGAAAGGACATAATCAAGATAGCAAATTATCTGTGAGTAAAAAACAATGTCAGTCATAACTCTAGCCAAGAGAGAGGAAGAATGGAAGCAGTAAATATGTTCTCTAAGTATTACAGCATAAACTGTGGTGAAGAGGAGATCCTAGAGAACAGAGTACTTATAGTGGGAGGAAATTTTCAATGGCTAGATACCTCAGATAATGTCTCAGTTACCCAGACATCATGCAATGAAAGTGTCAAGCATGCCAATAATATATGGGCCTTGAATCTTTTAACATCAGTTATTTGAGAATTATTTTCCACTTGGAATATTTCTTTAATTCTCTGGTAGAAAGCAGAAAAGAATAATAATGTTCTCTTCATAGAAAAGCATGATGTTACAAGCAAATATTTGTATATATTCATTCCATAAAGCTGAAATTTCTTTTTAGATATGAATTAACATGGCATTTAACAGCAGTATGTCTCAAATTATAGTGATTATATGATTAATTCTAGTATCCTTTAAATAACCTTTTCAATATTCTTTAGAATTTCTTATGGACTTTTGAAATAAATTCTTTAGGATAGCATTTTTTAAAGCAAGGCACAATGTTCTAAATTTTCAGAGAGTATTTACCTGTGTATTAACTATACACTACTATTAGTGATGACACCATCATCGATTCTCAAAGATATACCTGAAAAAAATCCTAATTTTAAAGAGTTCTGATCTCCAGTGTCCTTGGTCAGTTTTCTGTAGTACAAACATCAACAGCTTACTCACTAAAGAAGAAAGGAAAATTCTATTATAGGACCTTGTGAAACAGTGAGTGCCTCTTTAAGTCTCCAAACTTCAAAGCCTTGTCTGTTTACTGATCACGAATAAGGTCTTTTGCATGCTGCTGCTGGGTACTAAGGTATCCTATCTCATGGGCTCACTAGGAACACTTTTTCATCAGTGATCTTGTCAGCTGCTATCTCTGACAGTAGTTAACATCGCTTAAGCTCTTGTCACTATTTAGTTTTGTCAGCTGGCTCACTCTGCTCTGTCCCTCACACTAGTAAGAATGTACTTACAATGCGAACTGTTTCTTTCTCTATTTTGTTCTCACTCAGGAGCCCCAAACTACTGTAATCCACAACCCTGATGGAAACAAGGTATTCAGAAAGAATCAACATCATCTTGCTTTCACAAGATTACACATTTCATCAAATATCCAAAGCAAAATTAATTCACTATCTAAATGTGGAAATAAAATTCTTACCCTTTTTCTAACACGCTTTTTTTTTGGGGGGTGGGCCTAATTTATATAGAATTGTACACATATTTCTTTTAAAACAATCATGAATGACATCTTGAAAGAGAAATTAATGGTACCATTAGTCAATAAAAGTTGGGTTAAGCAAAGTCTTTATGTCAAGATGACTGTGTATCTTAAGCAATTCCATCTGATCCTTTTTTTTTCTTTTCCATGCTTGTTCTGTGTGTTGTACTTTAGTTATATTCTGCATGAAATTTTAGAATTTCTTGCCATATCATTTCACTGTCTTCAAAAAAATCAACTTGAGTTCATAGATGTTTGTTTAAATTTAATGTTGCTTTTGAATTTTATTTATTCTGTTGTCAGAGTGCCTTTTCTGTTAATTCTGTTGTTGGTGTTGTTTTTGTTCTTTGGCATGAAATGGAGGATAATCAAGGAGTTTCAATTCTTGTGAAATGTTTATTTTTGTTGAATTATATGGATTTTGGTAACATATTTAACCAGGTAGGCTGAATGAAGTTAGGCTGTAATGTTTTCTGTCTGTTGTAGATTACTTGTATAGCATGTTGACCAAATAATAGTACTTGTATACATGTCTATTGGATGAAAGGAAACATTTTTGAACATATTCCATGTTTCCAGTTTACTAATTCTCATATATTATTGTATCTCTAAAGGAAGGAAAATATAATTCATCCAATTTTTCTCAAAGATCAAAATACAGTCAAGGGTCTAACTTCTCCTTACTCTTATCAACAATGTTTAAGTCCTAGAAAACACATTTTCTCTGGTTTAACATTTAGTTGATCAATATTAAAATAATTAAAGTGAAAAAGTCAAGTATTTCTTAAGATGTATTTATGATCATGACACTTAAAATATTTTAAGTCCCTAAAAGACTTCTAGTACTCAGGAGCATCATATAGGAGAACAATTTTTTTTAATATCATTAGCAAATGAAAGACCAAGCATAACAGCTGGAGTGGATACTTCGATAGTTCTAGCTATATCATTTGTAAGAGTTGCTGCATGATTTTTCTTACATGAATTAGTTTACTTTTACAGTGCATGGGTTTACCTCGATCTTGAGTTTAATTTGAACACTAGGTCACATTAAGAAACGCATGAAGACTCTCTGCTTTGGTTTTGTGTGTATGGAGACTCTGGATACACATTTAATTAGTCTGACCCATTTAATTAGTCTGACCCTTTGGCTTAAATATTATATATTATATTTATACAAATTGATGGCTTTTTTGACTATTGAATCTCTACAAGGACACTGATTAGTATTTGCATCATTTTCCAAAATCTGTTTTTCATCACTGAGCACATAGCTCTGGATTGGAAGTTTGTTTCCAATTTCTTTCAACTCTAGCCTTTAATCATTTCAAGTAGAAAATAGTATTTTTCTTATGACTACTACCAAATTTCTTTGCTAGAAAATATTTTGTTAGCACATTATTAATGGAAAAAAATGGTTATCAAACCATTTTAAGAAACTATATCTTAATACTGGCAGTTGCAGTGTCCTTTTTTAAGTGTGCTTATTAATCTTCAACTTCATTTGTAGTTTTACAAAAATAATAGCTTTTTATATCCATTATGAGAGCAGATTTGTTATCAATATCAGTCTCTAATTAAATAGATGACAAAATCTAATAGTCCTTGAAAGTAAATTATTCATATAATTCCATTGCACTGATCACAAACATGGAAATTCTTGTTAAAAGCAATTTCAGCATAATTCACCTTAGTGCCCATAATTTCATCATCAAATGATGCAATGAAATGCTTTCTATCTCTACACAGGAATAAGACAAATAGGCTATGAATTCAGTGCTTGATATAGTGCTTTATACAAAGAAGGGATTATTTACTGATTAATTAATTGGAGATAGAAATTGTTCTATTTTAGGGTCAGATTCATTGGGCTAATATATACAATTTCTGATAAATATATAGAAAAAGCACACTTTATGGGGCACTGTAACCAAATACAGCCTTACACAGCTCTTAAAATAAGTTGCCCACTTTGGCTGCTTCTACAAATAACCTAGACTCATCATGCTTTAGCGTAGGCCACCAGAGTACTCCCTTTTTGAAACATTTGCAGCATTTGGCATTTTATTTCTATTAAAACCACATAATGTATTTGTCCATCTGCATGTCAGTATATGTACACAGCCTGCTGATGAATTTTTGCATGATATGTATATCACTTGCCAATTTTAAGAAGGAAAAAAGTGAAGTTATCCATTGTTTGCAACTTAACACTTGTTTTCTTCTCAACAGGAGTCAACTGAAAGTTCAAATACAACAATTGAGGATGAAGATGTGAAAGGTATGATTAAATCAGAAATGGGAAAAAAATCAGAAATGGAAAATCCTAACTTAGAGTTCCACATGAATCAAAAAAAATAATTGTTCATATAACTAACAAGTTTGGGAACTAGGCCTGTTCTAAGAAACAAAAATAATTTTCTTCTTACAAGTACACTATTATTTTGATTATATGTATTGATTTGGCCAATTTTTTCACATTCTTTTTTCTGTTTTGAAATATCAACAAATGTGGGATATTTGAACACATTGTGATTTTAAACCAGATGACAGTCTGGGGACATGATATCAAATTGTAAATGTATCAGTCAAAAGGTAATTTAAATGTATATCTATGTCTAGAAAACAGCTTATGTTCAAGAATAGAGTATTAAAAGGACCATTTTTTAAAGCCTTTAATGGTCTTGGTGAGTTTCAATGGAATTTCACATTTGGCAGCCTTTTATCCTCGGTTTCTGTGCATTTTCCTAATATTTTCTTGACCTCCATTCACTTGAGTTGCCCAGGTTCTTTTAGAAATATAAATGAGTCATTGCCAACATTTCTATGGACATCTCACTGCTTCTGCCCATACATACTAAACATACTTTGACTTCTTTTTGGTCTCATGGCTGTTCTAGAAGTGTTAATTTTGCTTCAGCTGCTGCTTTCGTGGTTTTGTTTTCTCATTTTTGTATTTCCATATGTGTAACAGCAATTTCTACTGGCCACTTTTGTAAAAACCATTCCAAAAAAGAATGATAACAATAGGATGTTTAAAAAGTATTAAAGATGTATTAAAGGAAAATAAGCATAAAACAAAGGTAGAGAAATGATTTGTCAGATAATTAAACATTATTTGGAAAGATTATTTACCTAATAGTATCAACATGGGTTTTCATTTTGTAGATGTCATTAGTAAGACACAGTTTTGGAAAACTGTATTCATGTTATAGAATAAGGAACCTGGAAACTCTCAGATCACGAAGATATATAGGCAGTTTAGAAAATAAAAATACCTATAGACTGCAAGTTACCAGTCACTGTGCTGACTTTTCCCCCTTTGGTTGAATAGAACAGATGATTCTATTATATTAAAGTGTACTCACTATTTATTTTTAGTGCACTAACCTAACTCTGCTAGAATAGTCTTTTTTTTTCTCTTACAATAGAAAGGTGGATAGCTGTTTTGAGGATTTATTTAGTAGGTCTATTCATCTTGCTCTTGCCCCTGAGCTGAAATTTGAACGGAAGTAATTTTATGAATCATTGATGCCAGTCGCATTAGATAAAGATTTTTTTTTTTAACCAAATAAGCAGATATGCCATTTAGCTTTCTCGGTGATTCAGAAAGCATCATCTTTGTAAATGTTTTGGATTCATTACCTTTTCAGCCAAGCAAAATACTTATATGACTTTATACATTCTTCTCTTGAGCAAGAATCAGGGGAAATAAACTTGTGCATTATCCACTGGAAAGTCTGAGTCTTTAAACAGCTGAATAATATTAGAATAGTAATACCTCACTATGTGCAATTCATCCTAATAAACATATTCCTTGATGATCACAAGCAGAGTTTTTATAAGTGGTCTTTCTCACCTGAGTTTGACTTCTACTAAGTTTTGGTTTAGGATCATAGCTATTACACTATAAATATCAACATATAAACAGAATCCCTCTCTGTCTTACCTTATAGTTTATAATATTTTTGATGAAATAAAATTATATCAGCACCTCTCACAAAACAATTCTCTCTAAATCACAACAATGATACTGGTTTCATTTTGCCTCTGGGATTTCACAAATTGAGATAACATTTGTCTTTATGGTTACATGCTGAGACTACACACACCAAATGTTAGAGAAATTAAGCATAATATTGAGATGGAAAGAAATGTCCAGTTTATTATTAACCCCAAAGTGCTTTGATTTATTTCTTTGAACTCAGTGAATAAGATATTGACATTTCTGCTTAATTTTCCTTGAGTGGATGTGGCCGCAGAGTCACAGATAATATATTAAGCATCATTTGTGTTCTCTGTAAGACCCACACAGCTTTTTGGTGGCTATCCTTTTTTAATTTTGAATGATATTAGAAACCTGTCAGACTAGAAGACACTTTAAAAAAATCACCCAGGCTATCATTCTGACTACAAGATAGGTGGTACATAAAACTGTCATAAATATTTGTAATGTATTTATTGTGCTGGTTATATGCTTATATGGGGATCTCTTTATTAATAAATACACAGTCCTTCAGAAAGATCCTAATTGAATTCTGCATTTGTACGACTGTGCTCTTTTCTCTTTACCTCAGAGTTTGCTATAGCTTTAGGTAGCTTGGTAGAGAATGTTTATTGACCAACTCTGTTAGAACCCAAATTTACATCTCCGCTCCAGGAACTCAAAAAGATCATTGGTTATAAACCTGACCAAAACCACACCTTCTCTACAAAGTCACATCCTACTTACAAAATTGCATATCTTTCTTCCACATTTACTTTGCAGTCCTATCCCTTCTGTAGACAACTTTGTTATCAGGGTGAAACACCAGATTTCTCAACACATTCCTAAAGGCATATTGCCCTAGCATGCTCCTGCATGCAATCACAAGCTCCATCCATTCCTGCTGGGTATCCCTCCTAGACTTACATTGTTTCATGGTGGCTGGAATACCATAGTACATACTTTTGCGCTAGTGTCATGCACTTTCTGTCCAATCCCCAAGGACCAACTTGGTAATGACAGTTCTACACCCTCTCTACTGTAAAGAAGCTTAGGGGGGAATATTAACACATCATGGTGACCTAGACAAAGGAAGAAATGAAAACCAACAACAGAATGCCTTTTGCTGGCGTTTTTGGGGGGGAAAAGGTAAGCCAACTGCTCTTAAGTATGAGGAAAGAAGTCATAGTAGATGAGTAATCCTTCACATTCAAGGAACCTAGAGAGCCAGAATTTGGAGAAGACCTTTTTTTTTTTTTACCTCTTGTTAGTTTCCATTCAAAATGGCCTTTGGTTTTCATAAGGCCCCAATCTATGTGTTATTCTTGAACTTTATGTAGGCTATCTCACTTTTTTTCATTCAGCAAATATTTACTGAATGCCTACTATTTGTGTGAGCTCCACATCTTTTCTTGGTGACCAGTCTTATTCAACAAATCAGAGTCAAGATGTTCTTCTGTATGCTTTACATGAAGCTTTAATTCTATAATTTGGCTATTTTCCTCATCTAGTTTAATAAATACCAAGAAATTGACTTCAAAAAGTGAGACCCAGTATAAATGCATTTTATTTCTAAAAGTCTTTTTATTTTTCATTTTCTAAAAAACTTGAGCATTTAGTTATAACCACAACATTGCCCTTCCAAAGCTCACAATCTATTCTAAGGAATTATTTTATAAGTTTTCTTTTTAAAAAGTGTATCAAGTTCACTGTTTTCTCTTTTCAAGGCAATGTGGACTTCCTAGTATGGACCTTTTGAGCTATTTCCTAATTTTATACTATATTCAAAAACCAAATATTATCCCTAACTCTCTGTAAACTCAGTGATAAACTCCATGTAATGGAAAGACACGAAGGGCTCTAAAATAAATGGGATCTTAATGAGGCATAGCTATTACCATAGAAGCACCATGTAGTAAAAACAGCTTTATGCACCCAAAACCCAGTAAGCAAACAAGTTTTCCTATTAGAATTCACTGGTGTTTTCAAAATACAAATTTTTAGGTCCAAAATTGTTGTAGTCATTCCATTTTGAGTACATTTCTAGTAAAACAATGACTTTCATTAGTTTAAGGTGTTACAAACAGCTATCATCATTAGCCTTTAATTAGTATATGGCAACACTAACAGTGTGGCTGTCTATGAATATGGGTGTCCTTAAAGCCAATGATAGATAGCAATGGTCCTTTCACCACTGTATATACATTTGAAGACTGTCCTTTGGTTTCTTGCTGTAGCCACAGTTTGCAGGGCCTGTTGCTATATGCCACAATATCTCTCTACCTCATAACCTGCCAACACCGTTGTTCAGAGTCAACTGCTTCTTCCTGATGAGTATGCATCAGTTTGGTCCATCTGCTGCTCTTTCCAGAGTTCCAGAGTTGTGTGACATCTGTCGAAGTTGAGCTGCTCTGTGCCCATATGTCATCTCTGTCACTCATCCTGCTTCCAGCATCTCATTGCATTCAGCTCACCGCTGAGTAGCTGTTTGGATCTCTTGCCACATTTCTTCCTCCTTAACAACTCTAGACCAGTGGAGCTCTTTACAACAAGCAAACATGTATTGCTAGGAGCTTGACTGTGGGACTTCATTTTGGTTTATCCTCTTTTTTTTCCCTTTGCTAACAAATAGATGATGATAATGAAGTTGCAAAGAATGTTTGCGAAAGGCCTTAAGGGCAAGGGTTGACACCCTTCATTTGAATGGGGCCTGGTATTTGATGACATCTGCTTATAAAGGTCTTGGCCAATTTACAGAATCACTTGGTTAATGAGCTTTTTGTGTACATCTTTGTAAATCTGTACATTGGTGGACAGTGTGATGACTATTCAGATTCAACTATTCTTAAGTTCTGTTTTCAATGAAAACCATCATTGCTGGGTAGGACTCCTGATGATCATATGATACGATCTTTTTCAGATCCCTCTGTGGCTTGTTACTCAGCACTTGTCCTGCCTGTGTTTCTCTTTTCAAGGGAATTTGCAAATCAAGAAACTTCTTGTTATTTTGTTTAAGAACCTTCGATAATTATGTCATTCCATTAGGTTAAAAGTGTCTTAGAAGACCTATAGTGCAGTGCGTAATAATTTCTTTCAGATTTCTAATCCAAATTTGATTTCTAAAAAGGTTTACTTAGAAAAAGTTACGTCTGCATGTGTGTATCTTGCCTGTTGATCTTTTAACTTTTAAATCAAGATCAATAACTTATAGAAATGATGCCGAATTTACCTGCTCTATCACCAATATAAAATAATTTCATTTCTCTTTATTTTTCTTGTTTACATTCCTTTATTTT